TCTCTCTCTCTCTCTCTCTCTCTCTCTCTCTCTCTCTCTCTCTCTCTTTCCCCTTTTCTTGTTTTGATTTAATTGACTAACATGAATATTTATAAAAAATATTTTATAGATAATTGATTTGAGAAAGCATTTAGTGCTCTTTTAATTATCCGATAATTGTAAAATTTTATTTTTGTTTTACTTTAAAAAAATTTTTATTTTTATTTTATGTTTGAATTAGTAAAAATTAAAAATTATCGTATACAAAACTCAATTTATAACATCTTTGCTGTATTAAAAGTAAAGATAATTGATTATTAAATTTTTGATGAAAAATAAAAATAGTTTTGAAAAAACATTATATATCGCTTATCATTTAAGAACTATTTAAAAAATAAATCTCTTGACTTGTTATATTAATAAAAGATTGTCACATTAAAGTGCCAAAATCAAGTTCAAACGATTTACACGTATAACTTCATTACTTGAAGACAATCAATGATCAAAATAAAATGAAAATTTTTTTCAAATTGACTTTGAAAAAGATTAAAATTAATTAACAATTTCTTCAAATTTAGAGGTGTTTAAATTATTTATAAACTTACCGTTAAGAATTTACGTATTAAGCACACATTTTTGTGCTATATGATACAAAATCCTTTCGCAAAAAGATTTTGCAAAAGATTTTAATTTTGTACTTTTTATCTTTCAAAGGCCTAAGATTTTATTTTTACCTATATGTAGAGACAAGTGCGAAGTGCGCGTTTTGCATATGCAAAATTTATATATTGCAGTATTGCTATTTTATTTCTTCTTCTTCTTCTTTTTTCTCTTCTTTTTTTCTTTTTCTTCTTAATATACATATTAAATAAATATTTTTGTTAAATCATCATACATGTACTTCTCTGTCTTGGTCATATCGTTACATTTTATGAGGTGATGTGAAATAATCTCGAGAAGTAATTTTGAGAGCAGAAAATAGAAAAAGAGGTTTAAATAGAATTAGAATATTACAGTGATACAT